GGTTGGTCTTGAACTCCTGACCTCGTGATCCAACCGCCTTGGCCTCCCAAAATGCTGGGATTACAGGCGTGAGCCACCGCGCCCAGCCTACTCTTGATGAATTTTTGTGTTTTTATAATTTTGAGAGTTTTGTTAAGAATTGTTTTGGAGGCTGAGGCAGGAGAGTGGGGTGAACCCGGGAGGCGGAGCTTGCAGTGAGCCGAGATCGCGCCACTGCACTCCAGCCTGGTTGCTAGAGCGAGACTCCGTCTCAAAGAAACAAACAAACAAACAAACAAAACATCCACATACCTGTGTTTTGGCCCATTTCTCCTTCTATTTCATCAGCATGAATTCTCCAAAGTTTGGAGTCTGGATGAAACCTTTTTCATTTTGATCTGTATTGCTGGACTACCCTCTGGAAAGGTTAGAGTGATTAACATTGATTAACACTGTGATACAGTGATTAACACTGTAATGCAGGAATGAGCTTATTTATCCTTATAGAAGCTGTACTCATTGATCTTAATTTTTCTTTCTTTCTCTCCTTGTAGTGGAGTCTGCTTTATACCTGCAGACCCTCCCCCAGGCCGTTCAGAGCATCCAATTCTAATTTCTTCTTCCTGTTGGTGTTGTTGATCGGGCTGTGTTTGGCAATCATACCTCTGACAATCAGCATATCACGGTAAATGCGACGTTGTTTTCTAGAACATTTCATTGCTTCTTGATCTGTTCCTCTTTTATGTAAAAGGATCCATCATATCACTTTTTTTGTTGTTGTTGTTGAGACAGAGTCTTGCTCTGTCACCCAGGCTGGAGTGCGGTGGCGCAATCTTGGTTCACTGCAACCTCCATCTCCCAGGTTCAAATGATTCTTCCAAGTAACTGGGACTACAATCTCCATCTCCCCAGGTTCAAACAGCCTCCTGAGTAGCTGGGACTACAGGTGTGTGCCACTATGCCTGGCTGATTTTTATATTTTTAGTAGAGACAGGGTTTCGCCATGTTGGCCAGGCTGGTCTGAACTCCTGACCTCAGGTGATCTGCCCGCCTTGGCCTCCCAAAGTGCTGGGATTACAGGTGTGAGCCACCGTGGCTTTATTGGCTTTTCTCATGGTGTTCTACACACACAGGCTATCAAGACTTCCAAGGCTCAAGCGACCTTCTTGCCTCAGCCTCCTGAGTAGCTGAGACTACAGTTGCGCACCACCACGCCTGGCTAATTATTTAAATTTTATTATTTTTCTGTAGAGACGAGGCCTCACTATGTTGCCCACGCTGATCTCAGACTCCTGAGCTCAATTGATCCTTTTGCTTCGGCCTTCTAAAGTATTGGGATTACAGGCATGAGCCACCACACCAGGCCGAATTTTGTTTCTTCATCTTTAAATTAAAAGCCTGGACAGGTGCGGTGGCTCACACCTGTATTCCAGCACTTTGGGAGGCCAAGGTGGGGCGGGGGGATCGCTTGAGCCAAGGAGTTCAAGACCAGCCCTGGCAACATAGCAAGACCTCGTCTCAAATTAAAAACAAAAAACAAGCAAATAAACAGACAAAC